AAAGGCACAGATATAGAATGGGAGGGACTTGGCTTGACAGCAGCACATGTGAAAGGGATCTAGGTGTTCTGGTTGATCATAAGCTAAACATGAGCCTGCAGTGCAATGTGACTGCGAAGAAAGCTAATGCAATCTTAGGATGCATTAACAGAAGCATTGTGTCCAGATCACGGGAGGTGGTAGTTACGCTCTATTCTGCTATGGTCAGGCCTCACCTGGAGTACTGTGTCCAGTTTTGGGCACCACATTTTAGGATGGATGTTGACGCTTGAGCGTGTCCAGAAGAGGGCAATCAGGATGGTTGGAGAGTTGGAATCCAAGTCTTAAGAGGAAAGGCTGAAAGAGTTGGGTATGTTTAGCCTTGGAAAGAGAAGTCTTAGAGGGGACATGATTGCAGTCTTCAAGTATTTCAAGGGCTGTCATGTAGAAGATGAAGCGGATCTATTCTCTCTTGCTCTGGATTGCAAGACTGGATCTAATGGGTGGAAATTACAAGGGAGTCATTACCGGCTAAATATCAGGAGAAACTTCCTAACTGTAAGAGTGGTTGAGCAGTGGAACAGACTGCCTCGGGAGGTGGTGGATGCTCCTTCACTGGACGTTTTCAAGCAGAGGCTGGATGACTATCTTTTGGGTATGTTGCAGGGCTATCTTTCCGCTATGCTCCTGCAGAGCACAGGGGGTTGCACTGGATGACCTGCAAGGTCCCTTCCAACTCTAACATTCTATGATTCTATGAATGGATCAATGGGTCTGGTTTGTTATAAGGCCTCCATATGTTCATCTTCAGCATATCCTTAAAATACATGCATGTGAAATCACCCTATTTTAGACAGCTGCTAGTAAGATTAGAATGGCTGATAGCAGAATCTGTGTGCAGTAATCCTCAGATGAATCAACAAAATTTAACTGCATAAATCAGCTGCAATGAAAACCAGAAAAGTTTTTAGAAATCAACAGATTTGATATAATAAACCTTTTCAGTGGAACATCTGCTAAGCATTAATTTTATCTGCAGTTTTCAGCAAAGCTTACGTCTACTTTATTGCTGTTCTAGCATGGGATAAAATAAATGGTCAAGATAACAGAGTCTCATGCAAAAGATGAAAAGTTCAGGCAAGTAAAAACTTCATCCTCAAGAGCTTCAAACACTTTCTAAGGCAGAAGAAATATTGAAACATTTATCAACGTACGTTTGTGGTGGTCCCCAGTGGCTGAATACTGGAGTTTCTTCCCCTTCTCCCTCTTCTCTTTCAGGCAATTCACTAAATAAATAAAATGGAAACAAATTTCAGCTCCCCACATAGGCTCCCTGAAACTGTATTACTGATTATTATTAATATGACAATGACTGCATTTATCTGTACAACAAAGCCTAGAATAAAGATGTCAAGTAAAGATGTGAGAACCTACAGTCTAATATGCCTGTGTCTATTGGTAGAAATCTGTTACTAAAATAAAAACCCTTGCAAAATAAAGTGTCCTGCAACCATCGGAGAATCTGTCCCTGTATGTACAAAAATGCAAACACTGATTTTGCAAAGTCAAAATAATATTATTGAAGTGTAGCATGATATGGACAGGGGAGAGGAGATGCACACACTGTTCTTTCATCTTTTTTGGCTACTGCCTAAGCACAAGGATAGAATTCAGAGCGTTTCCGGTCTGTGGCTCAGCGATGGCGGAGGCTCTCCCCTAAAGCTGGGGAGGCATTCCGCGCTCCAGGGGTGTTGGAGGAGTGCCACCTCAAGTGGCACCCCCAGGTGAGCCTCAGAGTGGAGGCTCCAAGCCGGGGGCGCATGAGGGGCGACCTCTTCGATGGCTTTAAGCCGGAGAATTGAGGCGCTCCTTTTTGCCCCAATCGGTCCACCCCCTGAGAGGCTCGGTTTTTACCGAGCATAGCTGATGCCGGCCGGGACAAGCAAGAAGGTCCGCGAATGAGGCGTGACTAAAATAGGTCTGTGGTCAGACCGTCAATGAAGTGGAGAAAAAGACGAGCGACTAAGTTCTAAAAGTGAGTTCCACCCCCCCACCACCTATAGCGGCGTCGGGAGGGAATCCCAGACGTAAACAAACCGAACTGTGTTTTAAAGAGAAGGGGGGGAGGAGAAACAAAAAGCGCTCAAGTGTGCCATAGACGTAGCTGTTTTTGCGGATAAGTTTGCACTTGCTGAAGGAGAGTGAAAAGCCTCTCTTTAGTGTAAACAAAGCTGAAAATGGCCGGCGTCCGAGGAAGAGGAACGAAAGTTGGGCGAGGCGGCCAAAGTCCGAGGGTAGAAGAAGGAGACGTTTTCTCCACCTTAGCGGAGCTGCTCCGGCCCATAAACGAAAGACTTGATGGTCTTAACCAATTGATGGCTGCTTCAAACCAGAGTATGGCAAAGCAACAACAGCAGATCACCGAACTCGTGAAAAAGTCGATTCAAACTGATGAAAACTTAAAGAGACAGCAACACGATGCCAAAAAGATGAAGAAGAAAGTTGGTCTGTTGGAGCAAAAGCAAGATCTTCAAGAAAGAAAGCTAATGAATCTACAGATGCAGCTGGGATCAGCAACTATCAGGGTCCTAAAGGACATTCCATTTGAGGTTTGACAGAAAAGAAAAGCATACAAAGAACTCATTTCAACACTCCAGATCAACCAGATTCAGTATGCCTGGCTCTTTCCGGAGGGTGTGCAGTTTAAATACAAGGATAAGAGAGAAAAAATTGACTCGGTGTTTAAAGCGGAAGAATGGTTGAAGCAGTTTTTTGGATCGAAAACGGAAGAGCAGCCAGACGGAGGGGGCCCTGCAGACAGCCTGGAAGAGACGGACGGAGACTCAGCAGGAGCAGAAGGAGGCACGGCCAGAGATACGTATGACTTGCGGCTAAGAGTTCCCAAGTAGCTCTTAAGAACTGAAAGATTTATAACTGAAGTGGATGAAAGAGACTCTGTGCACACTGAGAAGAAAATAGACAATTATTAAAATGAACTTACTAACTCCCAAACTCATTGATTTAAACGAAAAGTTTTAAGTTTTATGACTAACTGTATACTAACTGGAAAAGACCTTCCTTTCTTGGGTTTTTAGTCTTAGTGTGGGTTCTTTGTTTACTGTCTGTATCCCGGGGTTTTTTATTTTTCTTTCCCTTCCCTTTCTCTATTTCTGTAGTCACATAGGTGTAACAAAAATTAATAAAACTACCCTGTCTTCAGGGGATAAAAAAAAAAAAAGAATTCAGAGCCAAACATGAACAAATACTGTAATTTGTTTTAATGACAGTATTACCAAAGAGGTCTGTTGCTTGTATAACAAAGCTTATTACTGTACAGTACTACGAGTAGAGTTTGGAGCTCATGTGGATGACTGACCTACTCCATCCTTATACCATGGGGCAACATGGCATCTCCACCTCACCCAAAATAAAACAACCTGGCCTCTTCGTATAGCTGACCTTGTGGTGAGAAGGTTTAATTTACGATGGCTGCAGGATAAGAAAGGGCTTGTACCAAGTAGCTTCCCAGGTATCACCCTGTCAAGAAGCCAGGAGAATTTTCTTGGCAACTGGTACCAATGACCAAATACCCTTGCGGCAATCCTTCTCTTTCTGCAGTCATCCACATTTAAGCTCTATCATTACAAGTAGCTCTGCTACTGGTATGAAGAAGTAAGGAAGTTTTATACCACATATCATATGTAGATGTGACAGATTGTATGGTAAAACAGACATCAGGATAAAACAGTCCTCAGTATGAGCTCCCTACTGAACTTATATTTTTAAAAATTCTGAAAGTAAATAAACAACAGCACTAGAGACCCCCAAAATTACAGTTACAGAGTATGGAAGGCTCTTGCAGCCATCCTGCAGAACATTTAGCATTTTAAAATATTCATATCATTTCTCATTCAGTCTCTCAATAATTATTTAATGAACTCTGTGAGGTAGGTCAGTATTACCCAAGAGAGCAGGTCACTTAAGACCAGCTAGTGAGTCTCTAGCTGAGGCAAAATTTAAGCCAGATATTTGTTTTGGCCTAGAGCTAACAACCAGTTTTATACTCTTGACACTTGGACATTGATTTTACACCTTCCTTTGCCTCTACCAATATTTGCTCAACAGGATAGGCCATGTTTATCAATCAATAATTTTATTGTGGTGAAAGAAACAGCCTCTTTGCACAAGTCAGCTATTTAATATATTTTTCGTATTTTTTCAAACATTTTGCTATTTAAGAAACACCAACCTACACCACAGTGTTTTTCTTAAGACTATTTATTTGCACATTCCTATGCCATTGCTACATAAAATATGACAAAAAACCCCTCTGTTCAGCAAAAGCAAAATTAGAACAAAAAACCAAAATCAAACAAAAAACAATGAACACAAACAAACTGCAAAGGATCAATAAAAACATAAACAAAGGTCAGCATAAGACTATAAAACAATAAAATGGTCAAATAATATACTCAAAACAATTTATAGGCCATGATGCTAAAATATTAAAAGAACTAACCATGGTCAGGAATAATTAGCAACTCTGCTAAAAGCATGCACAAGTAAAATGTCTTAATCTGACACCTAAAAGCCAAAAGTCCACATGCCTAGTGGCAAACTTCCACGAGGACAGTTTTCTCTGCCACTGCAGAAAAAGCCTTCACTTTCGTGGACAGGTGCATACAGAGTGAAGGTTAGTATTATAAGTTAAGTTTTAAGACTGCAAGATTAAGTATTGTAAAATTTAGTAAAATTAAGATCCTAGTTGGCAGCCTGGGCTATATGGAAGGAGACAGTCCTAAACTTTTAGGACATTAAAGGTAAAAGCTATGACAGAAATGAATAGGCAGGCACTGCCGATTTTTCAGTACAGGTGTGATAGGCTTCCTATATGCAGCGCCACACAACAAGCTGGTTGCAGCAGGCTGCATTAATGAAACTCTCATCAGTCTTCAAAGATAGCCCCACAGACAGCACACAGCAGTGATCTAAAATAGATGTGCCTAATTACCAATAGCCAAACCTCATTTCTCAAGAAAATCTGCGCTTTCAGCTGGAGGTCCAGATTGAGAACTACCCCTATGCAACTAACCTGCTCCTTCAAGACAAATGCAATCCCAGCAAAAACAAACAAACTGGTTCCTTATTCAGTTATCAGCTTTCTCATTGACATACAGCACTTCAGTCTTATCTACATCAAGATTCAATTTACTGGTCTTCATCCATCCTATTACTTTCTTTCAGGAGCAGTTTAGAACTTCCATAGACCCACTGGAATATGATGTTTAAAAGACACAGCTGGGTGTCATCAGGATTTTGATGGCATCTTACTCCAAATCCCAGTACAATCTCTGTCAGTGGTTTCATATAGATGTTAGAAAAGCTTGGGTCAAGCAGCAGTCTCCCAGAGCCACTTTCTGGGAAGGACTAGTCAATGTATGTGAACTGACCAGAAGACTTCCAAGTGCTATATAAATGCTAAATATTGTACAATGCCTACAGAGACCTTAATATTCCTTGAATTTTGTATTTATTTATTGCTATGCAAGGAAGTACAAAGTACAAGAAAATCAACTAGACATTTGCATCTAAGCAACTCTTTCATACCTAGACAGCCCTCTAGACAGAGCAGAATTCTGGCTACTGGAAAAGTCACAGTCTTCAGACTTCGGTTTACTTTTTTCAGCAACTTTAAGATCAGTGTTGATGCATAGAGGATCTTTATGGTCACTCTGTCTCTCGGTATCTTGCAATCAGAGATAAGTTATCATTCCATTATACTGAGATTTAGATGCAAACAGTCAGACAGGGAATATAGATAGCTTTGCAAGTAGGAAATATGAACTCAAGATGGGAAACAAAAATACACATTAGACATACTTGCATGAAATAGACACAGAGACTCAGACAATTACTCCTGAAAGCGTAACATTTGTGCCTAATTAATCAGCCTCAGTGAGGCTGGAAGTAGATATCATCCTGGACATAGAGCTGCTACCAAAAACAGCAACTTCATGTTTAATCGCCTTACTTTCTTCACAGCATTAAAGTGCCTCACATTATTTACCAATGATGCATGTTGTTTCTCTGCCCTAGCGGGCTGTAGCCAACTGTGGAACAAGAGAGGCTAAATGTTGCAATGAATGTTGCAATGTTATCACATTATTCCTGTATGAAAAGAACTCAACTCAAGGGTGCTGTTTTTGGTAACATACCCATTTTAATGTTTGCTTCTGTTATTTCAAAAGTGGTGCTATTTCAGATCCCTGAGACTGTATTACTGATTATTATTAACAAATCACTATTCAATTCAAAACCCTCAGGTGGCTGAGACTGTGTTACTGTTTTAATTTTGCTCACTACCCAATTCCAATTTTCAATAACTTTATTGGCAAAACAATGAGGAATTTCAGACAGATGATATAATCTGGAAGAGAAACGGTTCCCAAACAGTTTCTGGTCTGTCATTTCAGACAGAACCATTTTAGAACCGGTTCCCTACTGGAATATATTTGTAATTTCACACACAAACGCTTCTGTCCCGTTTAGGAAATGGGGCTGAAGCGTTTTACCTGTCAACCCCTTCCAAGTAGTCTTCAGTTTCCTCTCCCAGTTCCGATGCGCTTTTTCCCGCCGCTTTTCACCCGTGCGGGCGATCTCTGGCTTTTTTGGGGGGGGGGACGTTCGCTTTATAGCGCTATGGCAGTATAACGCTATAAAGCAATAACGCAACAACATTATATCAACTCCATTGGAATGCCTTGAGTGTTGTGTTATAGCGAACTTTCAAAAAAAAGCCGGAGATCGCCCGCGTGGGTGAAAAACGGCGGGGAAAAAGCAGTGCAGTCTGAAATGGCAAACCGCTTCAGGTCCAGCTCTTTACCGGAAGGGGAAAGCCATGTGTGAAATGGCAGCCCTATACCAGTTTACTCCACGACAGATCAAAAATGGCTTCAAAACGAGTTAAAAAGAGTAATGTGAAATTCCTCAATAAATTAAAAAAGAAAAAAGAACAGTACAAATCAGCCCATATGCCATCAAAGAGAAACAATCAGAGTACAGTGATTTGTTACATTGTATAAAGTAATAATAATAGGGCAAAGTGATAAAAGTAATCTCGAGTATCAAGTAATTAAAACAGTTGCAGTAAGGAGCTTAACTATCTGAAGAGGAATCATAAATACACCTTATATCTCTCTCACTCACTCTCCACCTCCTTCCTCTTCCCTCTTTTCTTTCCTCTTTTTCTCAGTCCCTGAGTATATTTGCCAGGAACTCTGCCACCTGCTCAGTAACTTCGGGGTTTTTATCCGCCAGTAAGAATTCAATACCTCTATTGGTTGCAGCCTTAGAGAGTTGAAGGAGAGGGCTAATCGAATGTAAACGTAGCTGAGTAAACAGCAGGCAGTTTAAGAGGATATGCTGAACAGAGTCAGGTTCTTTGCAGAGACATCTGCAGAATCTTGCCTCATAGGGGATGCCCTTGTATCTGCCTGTGACCATGGCCGTGCTCACTACCCACTAATCAGTTTGAGTTCTGCTTCCTGAGAAACTCAGGTTCTTGTTTTTTAACTGAAGCCCTTCTGACTGGTGAGAAAACTTTGAAGAAGGATGGGTGTAACTGGTAAGCTCACAAATGACTACAGAAGGCTGGCTTCCTGAGGTTCAGGTCCAGAGCTTCAAAGTCAAATAAGGCTCCTTGCCCTTGGAAAGCCCCACAACTCATATTTCACTACCTAGCTCCAATCTTGTCTACATTTCCACACATTCCAGTTCATCTTGCATATAACTAATGGTGTACCTGACCAAAATCAAAATTTTTGAAAAGAATTTGAATATTGTAAGCAGAATTAAGTGTGTAAACAGCCAGATTTCTAAAATTTATTCTCATCACTGGGTCTGGCTTTCCTAATGATCACAGCCAAGTTATCAGTCTTTTGTCCATTAGAAACAGAAGCCATGTATTCATTAAATACAATAAACTGAAGTACACAAACTTAAATTCCAGCTGATTTTTTCTGCTGATTACTTACTCATTTCCTGACTATCCAGCATATTGTTTGATTGGTTGTATTTTGCTGAGGCTCCAGGGAGTACTGAACTGCTATTTTTGTTTTCTTCAGGCTTCAGAGAAAAAATATGAAGGCAATTTAAAATTGAAATCCACTAGCATTGACCCATGCTGCAAAAACAGGCCAAGATTACTGTAAAAATGAATTTAAAACTAATTCAATATAAAGCTCTTATAACCAAATCTATGACCACGAAAAGAATTCTGCTTTCCAAATAACAGCTATTGCAACTGGCTTTGTTTATGCTCTGTACCACAGTAGCAACTAAATCTAGTACAGACCCTTTTTATAGTTTTATCACTCTTCAGGCTATTTGGATAAGAACATAAGAGAAGCCAAGTTAGAAGCAGGCCAATGGCCCATCCAGTCCTACACTCTGAGTCACACAGTGGCCAGAACCCAGGTGCCATCAGGAGGTCCACCAGCAGGGCCAGAACTCCAGAAGGCCTCCCACTGTTGCCCCCCAAGCACCAAGAATACAAAGCATCACTGCTCCAGACAGTGTTCCATCTAGACATTGTGGCTAATAGCCACTGATGGACCTCTGCTGATGGATATTTGAGTTTACTTTAGGATTAATAAAATAATAGCAGTATCTATTATTGACTTTTTCCAGATAGACATAATAGGATGAAATATCTTGTCCCACCCCAATACCTCACAACAGTACTTACCCTGTTATCTTTTCTAGATATGCAATGGTGTGCCTTTTCAGCTCTAATATCCATCTCGTGACTGAATTCTGGTTCCTTTGCCCATTGCCCTGCAGTATCAAAGTCCACCTCAGTAGATAGAACAAGCTCTTTTATATCTGATGCCACACAATCATAATAATCATGGTCTACATAATACTCTTCATCCACTAGCATCTCTTGGTCTTCACCAAGATCCTTCACTGGAGGCTTTAAAAACTCATACATTTCCCATGCCTCCTTGTCAACATCTGTCTCATTTTGAGAAAGCTGAAATTGCCTCCCAAAATCCAGGACTGGTTCATCAACAAGTTCTTCTTTACAGAAAGGTACATCTCTGAAGTCCTGCATGAAAAATCAAAGAAGATCATTATAACAGCTTTTAAAAAACTGATTTTTAATAATCAATATTCAAAATTAAATATTTTGTCCTGGGAACATCTTAGACTTTACAACTTCTGTCTCATGGTCTGGGGTATGTTTTTAACAAGTTCTTCTTAAACTATTTCACAATTTTGGTGAAATGAAAATGTACAGTTAGGACAATTTATCATCTCATTTCTCATATCAACCAAAAAGGAAGATAACTTGGTTCAAAGAAGCAATGTTCTTGATAAACTTTAGAAAGCAAATTTCAGCTACTGCTTGGGATACAAAAATTGCTAAGCAAGATAATAAGTGAAATAACAGAATCTAAATATGTCTAAATAAAGGAAGTTAACAATGCCTTCCTAAAGAGAGCTAAACCCTTCTAAATACATTGAAGTCAATTGTACTGTAAATCATATTGTTTTCCTTAAATTTAGTTACAAGGCAGATGCCCATTAAAAAGCAGCAGGCTGTATATGGGAGCAGGAGTTCTTTTAACACCTATTTTTGGGCATTCTTTGAGAGGCATGTTAGATGACACCTTTGGGGAATTCCTTGGTCCTGACTGCTCCCCAATGCATGGTGTGGAGCATGGTGTGCTCCTCTTACCAGGTGCCCTATCTAAGAATGTCCACATGGGGGGGGAGGTTGGGTTCAGATCAAGCATACACATTTACATATTTGTGGTTAATTTCCTTAAACAAGCAAACAGACAAACTGGGAATTAATCATATCTTCATTCCCCACAATGCTTTAGGAACTGATCAGCGAATATGTTGGTCTAATTTGGTCCTGTATCTTATAAGATATGTAAAGGGAACTGGTATCTGCACAAAATTCTCCTTAAAATAATGTCTTCTGGGAAGATACTGGGGATTGCACAGCTATATAATAAAATATTACTTTGTAAAGCATGTACTTAGAATTCTTCAGATTTTAGTTCCCCCTTCAGGTCCTCAGAAATTAAATCTTTCAGCAGTAGATATAAAACAGAACTGTTCAGGGAGGCATTTTTATAAAGGAAATAGGGCTGCATTATAAAAGAATGATTCAGGAAGATGTTTCAGTAGAGAGATAAAGACTGTGGAATATACTATTAATATGTATTATCTGTTTCTGGTTTTTTATCATGCTCTCACCACATATGTCTACTTAAATAGTACCATTTCTTACAGTGTTTTAACAACTCATGTTAAATACTGTTATGTATGCAGGTCTCCACAAGGGGCCCACAAGAAAGAGAGGAGCTTGGCTCCACAAGACAATGGGGACCCTGGATCCTAGCTCCCTCCCAGCCGACCAATAGGCTCCTTGGCGGGAAATTCAAACCCTCCAATGGAGTGGGAGGCGCTAGGCCGGGTGTGTATATAGTTGGCCTTGCAGGGCCATTAGTCAGTTCTGTGTTAAGTACTAATAAACGTGTACAACCGCATGTCGTCGTCCGAGTCTTCCATGCTGCGAACCCAGTACTTTTCAAATACTGATGTTTTGTTTTAGATTTCTGCAATCCTTGTCTTATTACATTGTTTATTTGATGTCTCCTAATCCTACTAATTGCACTGGTTTACATTATGTAATCCACCTTGTCTAAGTGAGAAAGGCAGAGAGGTGACAGATCAGTGGCAGATGCTTCTTTATCCTAGTACACTTGAATGTAAAAGAGCACTGGCTGGAGATGTAAGTGAAAACCATGGTTTGCCACTATGGGTAATGAATATAGGGGGATCATCAGACTTGCATGTTCCCTTCATTTCATTTGTGGGGCTCACACCATTTCATATGTGGGGCTCACTCAACTCTCCCAGATGATTTTTAGGGCAAGCTGTAGACTATCTGGGGAAGAAGAAAACAGGGAACAATTTACTTTGCCATTTTTTTCAGTGAACTTTTATTTTGATCCATCCCAGTACCTTTCATCCCAAGCACAGACATTTTATCTGTAGAATGTTGGGAGTAAATTCAATAACAGTAAGGACAATAACGTCTGATTGTACTATGTCTTCACAAGTGGGAATGTGCAAGAAACTTGCAGGAGCAGCTATCCCATTCCCCCCATCTCTGCATCTTCCTCTCTCCCCCTACTCCTCTCACATTCTTTCTCCTTCCTGCCACCCCTTTTCTTATTCTTTCTCTCCCTCTCCCCTCCATGCCTGTCACTTCCTTTCTGACCCCATCCCATCACTCTTTCTTCCCTTGTCACTCTCCCAGCCTCCCACCTACTTCGCCCCCCCCATATAGCAGGAGTGGCAGTAGCCGCTCTCCAGGAATCACAACAGATTGCTCAAATAAAGAGATCAGTTCCTCTAAGGGTTGCCAGCTTCATGTTGGGAAATTCCTGGAGATTTGGGGGTGGAGCTTTAGCAGGATGAGGTTTGAGCTTGGAAGTGACCTCAGCAAGGTATAATAATACCATAAACTCCACCCTTCAAAGCAGTCATTTTCTTCAGGGGAACTGATCTCTATCATCTGGAGAGCAGCTGTAATTCCAGGAGATCTCCAACCCTCACCTGGAAGTTGACAACATTAGTTCCCCTGGAGAAAATGACTGCTTTGGGGGGTGGAGTCTATGGCATTATATCTGTCTGATGACAGATATTACATGGGATATCCCAAATGCGAAACAAGGGACTCTATTTAACTCATAGGTCTAATGTTCCCCAATTCTGTAACATGCAGTTTACAAACAGCATTGTACATGCAAAGCTTGCACCCCTGAAACTACATGCACTGCAATGATTTAAGTAGACTTATTTATGGACTAGGAATAAGGCCCGTTGTGGAAATAAATACAACGAGATCTAGAAAGAGGCTCTGGGAGAGTGCTCTGGCTTTGGGCAAACAGTGTCAGTTTGCTGTGGTGACCTCAGCAGGGTATAGTGACAGAGTCCACTGTTTTCTCCAGAGGAACTGATCTCTGCTACCTGAAGAGCAGTTGTAATTTTGAGTGCAGTTGTAATTGTGAGTGATCTGTAGCCCTCACCTGGAGATTGGCAGCAATTGTTACCCAGGACAAAATGGCTGGTTTGGAGGGTGTAGTCTATGGCATTCTACCTGTCTGAGGTCCCACCCCTCTGCAAACCCCACCCTCTCCAGGCTCCACCCCTCGAATCCCCAGGAATTTGTCAGGATGTAGTTGGCAACCCCATCTCCTTCCCAGCTAGCCATCAACCTACCATTATCTGCCCCTTTGACTTCAGCTGACTTCTGCCCTCCCTTCTGCAGAGCAGTTGTAATACTGAGTGCTCTCCAGCCCTCACCTGGAGATTGGCAACAATGGTTCCCTATGTGGGACTGACTGGTTTGGAGGGTGGAGTCTATGGCAGTGTACCTGTCTGAGGTCCCACCCCTCCTCAAACCTCACCCTCTTCAGGCTCCATCTCTCAAATCTCCAGGAATTTCCCATCTGGAGTTGGCAACCCTATCAGGACTGGCCCCAATGTGTTTTCTCCCAAAGGCCAAAGTAGGTGACAGGACCAAGCTTAGTTGCCTACCAACAGGCACTGAGGGGAAAGTAGGGTTGCCAGCTCTAAGGAGGGAAATACCTGGAGGCTTGGGGGGTGGATTCTGTAGAGGGCAGCATTGGG